CACAAGACATGTACTTTCTTCCGAAATACAGACATACTTTTTCTCACCACCAAAGCTTTCCTTCTTAGAGATGCAGTTTTTAACACCACAAAAGTTTACATTACTTTTAATATCTAGTGAGGTTTTCATGAGTAATTTTAGTGGTTCTAATTTGTTACTGTCATTATAAATTTGTGTGGTTAGTTGGGTTTTATCTATTTTTTTTCTTCTTATGTGCCCCTAATTTGAAGATTTCTCTCCTCTGGGGGCATTATCTGTATGTTTTCATTCATACTCGGATATGTGAAGCCTCTGAATGGTTTAAATTTCTTACAAGCAGGCATGATTGGAGGTGCATCTATCACAAGGTCATCTTCATCAGAATCTTGAAGATTTTAATTCTTATTGGTGAAACATAAGATCTTTGGCTCTCCAGGGACGCGTGGCAATTTTAAGTGGCAGATTTTTGCAAGTGGCAGAAATGCTGCATGTCAGTCTCATCCTGCTTGGCATTAGATGCCCAAGCAGCCCTGCAGAATAATTAAGCAAGGGGTGATATTCAAGATCAGCTGCTGGACATTTGTGGTCCAGCACATACTTTCTAGGCTGACTTTGTTCTTTGATGGTTCATTTCACTTTTTTTTTTGGAAACTGGCTATTTTCAGGAAAATCTTGTCTCACATTTGTATCACTCAAGGCCCATAGGGCCTCACAATAGCTCTCCAAGTGCTACAGTCAACTTGGAAAGCCTCTTCTGCTTTTCTTCAACCTCAGTCTTGACTGACTTGATTTCTTCATTGATGCTTCCCAATTCTTCCATAGCTGTGCCTACTGTTATCAATGGGAGACGGACTTTGTTTTCTCTTTATAAATCACTAAGATGAAATGCAGACTCCAGGATATCCTGGACAAGTAGTTTCCTATCAGAAGTATATTAACTCTTCCAAATTCAGCCTTAAACACAGGGAGTTGGACTAACTGATCAGTTCTTAGAAGGAAAACGAGAAGGCAATCACTTTACATCTTTCAAACGTCTAGCTCACTCCCACGACTGATGAAAGTACATTTGTGCCTTACTACTAGAGTGACTATACATCAGTGGGACAGCCCAGGTTTATACATAAGTATTAAACTGTGTCAACTGTGACACAGTGTGGATGTATACTTTTCACCCCTGTTTACCAGCCAGTGACAGTTTGGAAGCAGTTCAAATTGCTGAATTTCACTTACATGGAACTGTTATTTAAAGCAGTGGTCGTTCCTTAATTTAGTGGGCCTCAACATTCTAGGACCCTAATGTACTCCAGAATGCCTCAAACACAAAATAAAACAAAACACCTGGCCCCACCAATAACCACAGAAAACCTGAAAACTCAACAAACCAAAACTCCAGAGCACCTGGATCCAAGCTCCAGAGGAAAACCAGGACAGTGACAAGAGATAAGGCCTGGAGTACCGGCTGTTCCCCACCACCTGGCAGCTCCGGCCTGACGTTTTACTAGGAAATCACCACCTCTTCCCTTTCTCCGAGATAACTCTTTCCTATATCAATTATGAGGTAATTTACACACTTCTCCCTTCTCCCAAACAAGAGAGTTCAGACATGAGATGTGGTCCAATTTATGCTTTTAAAAACTCTTGACTTTATTTTAGATAACTCACATGTTTTGATAACACACCTGCTTCCCCTTTACACAATGAGCTTTCTCCTGGCTCAACAGCCTTTCAAGTGACCATTCATTTTCTATTAAGAAACTAATTCCATTGAAATCCAAAACAAAGTGTGTGACAAAGGTGTATGGCATTTTAATGGAGGAGGGAGAAGGCAAACAGGCACAAGAATGAGAATTATACTAGGGTCCAAACATCAAGTCTGAACCCAATTTCTCTTTAAATAAACCTGGAAAGGGGAGGAAACTCTGAATAACCAGCCAAAATTGCATTTTGGCAAAAGCTGGGTTTTATTAGGTTGCCACGACTCAGGGAGGGCTGTTTAAACGGTGCTTTGGGGGAGTGATTAAAAAAAAAAAAGAGTGATTATACTTTGCCTCTATTTCACAAGATAACATTTTTGTTGTTGTTCCATCAGAGACTGGATTTGGAGTGCTAATTTTGAAGTTTGAAGGTACACTTACAATCTTCATTCAGGCTAGAGGTGATTGGGAACAGCTCCTTTTGATTTGTAACTACTTGCCCAACCTGGGACCCACCCCACTACCGTTCGCCAGACCACAGGAAACCCCTTATAATGATTCCATGCTGGGGGGTGGGTGACAAGGAGAGAGAGGAAGACCATACTAGGGCATGCGCATGAACCTTACAACCAGCAAACCTGTGCGTGCCTTCTAGGCTCCCGCACTCCCAGTAGCAGGCATCCGCTCGTCCTTACAAGGAGACTGCCACCTACACTCCTTGCCTCACCCCCTCGCTCCCGGGTCACCCCACATAGAGCAAGCGGGGCACGCAGAGCTCTGTTACTCCCCAGGGTGGCACCCTCTCCTCCCAACCCTGGAAAGAGACACTCTTGGGATGGCCAGCCCACACCGACCATTTACCCCGAACATTACTGGGATGCCCTCTCCCCAGGTTTCAGGAAGTGTGTGACTACCCAGAAGATCCGTGAAAAATGCCCCTAAAACACGACCCCATCGCACCATCACTGTTCTGCATTTCCCAGAACACACCTTCCGAGGGAGGGACAAAGACAGACAGAATAAGGACTAGTCCTTATCCTGGGTGTGTGACGCTGGAAAGATGTACTCTTGGGGCCTGTGGAAAAACTTCGTTGCTCATTCTAAGGCAAGTACGGACTTGTTTTTCTCATGTCAGTAACTGCCACTCTATAGGAATTGCCCTTAAGTAGTTTTGGTAGAGGAAAACAGGTTAAAATCCCTTTCAGGGCTGGGGAAGACGCAGATTATGGGCATCAGAGAAAGGAAATACGAGGGTGTTTCAGAATGGGGGAGAGACAGATAGGTCTTAAAGGGTTTTATTATGTCCTTTCAAGGGAAACAGATCAGAGGCCCAGGCAACCTGTTTTGGAAATGCAGGTTTAGCGATGGCATGGAAGATAGCAGGGGACAAATGAGAAGGCTCCCCTGACCCCAACACACACACCCCAGCCTGGGCTGTATGACCCCTGTTGTCTTCTAGACAAGGGAAGGAGGGAAAATAATTGGACAGCAGTAAGGACTGACAATCTTCATGCCCCTCCCCCACCCCAATACTCTGATTACACTTTACAGTGTTATTTACAGTGGTCTCTGCAAGCTATTCCAACTGAGGATGAGAAGCCAATTTTAATAAATATATAGTTAATGTCTCTTTTAGCCATTTTAGCCGTAGTAACACTGTAATGAATGGTTAACTTTCTCACTTCACAATACTTTAGTACTAGAGACAAGTTATATGATTGAAAAGTGAGCCTTACACCTATTTCCAATAAAGAAAATTCTTGGCACCTCCCAAGGGTGGGTGGAGAAAAAAGGTGAGAATGGTTGGTCGTCAACCCCTCCCCAGGCCCACCTGACATTCTTCCCACAAGCCCTTTCTCACCCAATGATTCAACACGTCTCCTCTGCACCTGGAGCACTTCCAAGCAGCTGCAAACACTTGCCTCACTTAGTTCCCACCGCATTTCTCTGTGTCTGAATTGGCAGTACAAACTCTGGCACCGACCCCTGGGGCTGTCAAAAGGGCATGAAAAATGACAAAAGTAACCCGCAAAGGGTAGCATAGGCTATTGCTCAAGGCCACCCCCACAGGCTCAGAAACTACTCCAACTATTGGCAAAATCAGCAAAGCTGAGAACCTGCCCTGACACCACTTTGCCCTCAGGGTGACATCTTGTATAGGCCATGGCTACTCAAAGGCGGAGCTTCGTCGCTTTTCCAGCCAATGGTGAGGCTGGGGGGGGG